GGTGTGGGGTGTGGGGGGTGTGGAGAAGAGGTCACAGGGAGCAGGATCTCAAGACCAGGCAAGTGCTCTCCCCTCCCGGAGAGCTGGGCACAGCGGTGCACCAGGAGACGGCTGATCCCGTCCTGTGTCCGTTACCCTCCCAGGCTGAGCACCACACAGGCACACAGTGCTGTCTGCTGCTTCCCCAAAGCCACCCCACGGGTTACACTGCTTCCTACTGCCCTGTGTCCTTCCTGGTGAAAAGGAAAAAAAAAAAAAGCCAAGTCAGTAGAGCTTATTTGACTTTTAAAACAGGACTTGAAACAGTTTTTTCTTTCCGTTGTTTGTCTGATTGCTGTGCCCAAGTTGATACCAGAGTCTCAGACGATGCCACAGTAGAAAATATTTGGCTCTCTGAGCCAATCCTCTATGTTCACGTTGGCAAGTGCTGTAAGCAAGCAGCACAGAAGCCCGGAGCAACCAGAAACCTGTATGGAGCCCTGTTTTTAGTCACTTGTCCAGATGAGGTTGTTCATGGTTAGAGGTGTAGAAATGGGGGCTCCGCTCCGATGGGAATCCTGACTAATCACTAACTTGATCTGAGCCTGGGTTTCCTCATTTCTTCCTTACACGGTTGCTATTATAACTCAGTCAGGGTGTGAGCCACTGAGACATATATCAAAGGAGGAAACTACTCAGGCTGGCTCCAGAGCTGGCTGCCGGAGGCCCTAGAAATTGCTCAGGAAGCTCCAGACGTCTCTTCCGCAGGCATCCCAAGCATAAACGTGACCCTTACAGCAGGTTCTGTGGGCACCCATTCCGTTGGATCACTTTTACTTACGGTGCACAATAACATGGAGGGTCCAGTTTGACTTCCAGCTCTAACAATAAGCAAACCTTGACCGTGGATAAAGCATCTAACCTTTCTGAGTGTTTTCTCAACAGTGAAATGGAGATAACACCTCAAAGGTTTGGTGAGGATGAATCAGTCACCAATGACAAGTATTGAGCAGAGTGGCTGTTTTACAGTAGCTTCTTGGGCCATTGTTCTTCATGTTTTTGGTTTCTTATTGGATGTTGCATTTCAAACAACAAAAGCCAAATGAGCCAGCCTCCTCACAAACCAGCATCATCCCTGATTGGTTGATTTGGAGTCTGTTTCTGGAGACATTCTGTTGTCTTCCTGCGTCACGGTCACTGCCGAGGGCATGGCAGGCTCAGGAGAAGAGCTGTGAGCACAGCTCCAGCGGGCCCCGCGGTGGAGCCCTGGTGGGCGGGCGCTGCTAGAGGCTGCTCTGGTGGGGGCCAGTGCGTTTGGGACTAGACCTTTCTGTCTCTCTTCCCCCAGGATCCTCTGAACTGAATTTACCCCATTTCTTCGCTTCAGTAACATACAAGGACTTGGGGTTTGCATTACCCAGTAGGGGAAATCCGGTGCCTGGGAGGTCCTTCAGGTCAGCAGAGAAATGGCTGGAAAAGTGCCCATAATGAGCTTAGTGAAAACAAACAAATTATCTGCCACCTCCTCTCAAGTTCCGATACCATTTTTCCCTCCGGACATCAGATGGCTAAATATTCACAGGCGATTGATTTCCCAGGCGATTGATTTCCCGATGCCGGGTTTGACCACGAAGACTCCTTTGGTGACTTGATGATGGTCTGCTACGAGGGAACTGGTCGGCTTTGTTTGGAAAAGGGGAAGGTGACAAGCAGCTCCCACCTGCCTGTGGGAGAACGTGGGACAGCTCATTACAGAGGGGCTCTGATGGCCCGAGGGTGAGTGTTTGCCAAGCCAGGCCTCGGAGGGGCAGAGGGCAGGAGGGAACGTGCTGCTTGCTCTCTTGCTGGAATCACTTGCCTTTTCCTTCTCTCTCCAAGTGGCAGGCGCAGGACGCTGGGTGGACACATGCCAAGGGAAGGACTTCTTTGTCCACATCTTTGTGACCTGTTTGCAGGCCGATTTAGTGATTTTCCAATAAACAGAGCCGGGTGGTGGGGGAAGGAGCAGATGACACCCAATCTGAAAGTAGTGTTGAGAGTGAGGAGTCCTGGTTGGCTGGCAGGCCTCCTGGAAACTCCTCCACCCACTCAGCTTTTGCCACCGTGACCCGGGTGAGAAAAGAGTGGATGTGGGTGGACAGTGTGAAGTGCCCATGGTCGTGTGGCTGTCCTCACAGCTGCTTCCATGTGTCTAACCATGTGCCCTGGAGCCTCTGGCCTGTGTGTGTTCGGCAGCATTTATGGCTATGCCTGACTGCATTCCAGGGAAAAAAGAGAAATGCAGGCGTGGACTTTCTATTGTAATGCTCAATCATTAATTCAGCAGCCATGTCCTGCGTACCTACCAGGTGCCAAGGTGCTGTTGCCAGACAGGTAGCATACGAGGGAGAGACGGTCCCTGCCCTCCTTCAGCTTGGGCCAGACATCACACCCATCATCACACAAATCGCTGAAAAGAAGAGAACATGGCACCAAACAGGAAAATGTGAGAGTTAGGAGGGTCAGGAAGGCCACGCAGCGGGGTGGTGGCCCTTAAGCTGAGACCCGAGAGGTAAGTAGGAGTTAAGTGAAGGATGGGGGTGAGGGGTGGAGTGTGTGCCGGAGGCTCCTTGAATGGAAGCTAATTGTTACCACAAAAGCATTTACAGATTTTTTAAAAGCTAGGCAATACAGAATTATCCCAGGATTTACTCTGAATCCACTTAGCACAATAATTATACAATTTTTTTCCAATTAATGTTTACAGGCTGCCTCCCAGCTGTGAACCTTGTGAGGAGCAGGCCTGTGTCTGTCCTATTTGGGGTCCCAGTCCCAGCCCCCAGCCCACTCCATGAGTGTGGGATGGGTGAGTGCACGGGCCAGGGGTTGTGTCTATACCCAGCACCCAGTCCCAGTTCACCTCCGTGACAGCCTCGGCCAGGGGAGGGGCTCTGGGCACCCAGCTTCATAGACGGAGAACAGTCTGCGGAGCTGGGACCCAGCCTGGGTCTGACACCAAGGCGCTCCTGCTCTGAGCTGCCTGCTTCCTTTTTATATCACATTTGACATTGTGGGACCGCCACTCTCACTCCCTAGAGAGCCTTCAGACCTGATGTGAAGTTCCAGTTTCAGGAGCCCTTTCACTTAAATGCAGCTTGAGTGAGGCTGCAGGGGAGGTGGTGGCCATGTCACTGTACTCACCCAGTTGCTGTACTACGTACCCAATGTTATATTTTAGTGTCATTTTGTTTATTTTTGAATGGGAGAGAGAGAGAGAGAGAGAGAGAGAGAGAGAGAGAGAGAGAGAGAGAGAGAGATATCACTGAAACCCGTATCTATTTGTTGTTCCACTTATTTATGCATTCATTGGTTGCTTCTTGCATGTGCCCTGACCAGGATTTGAACCTGCAACCTTGGTATATAAGGATGATGCTCTAACCAACTGAGCTACTAGCCAGGGCTACACTTTAATTCTGTGTTTGCTTTGTTCCAGGTGAAGGAGGTGCCTCAGGAGCTTGAGATGGTGTTCGCCACGCCTCGCCCAGCAGTGGCCTTTCTGGCGAGCTGGGACTTGTGGTGGGAGCAGAAGAGGGCGGCCCTGATGCTGGGCCCCTCATTGGCATGTTTGTGCTGTGCTGGATCCCTTCTTCCTGAAGGAGCCCATCAGCCCCCTCTGCCTGCAGCCTGCCCCCCACCTGGAAGAGCATTCTTGTGGCCTGGCTGCTCCAACTCTTTCTTCAACCCCCTGAATTACATAGCATTTAATAAGAACTACAACAATGCCCTCAAAAGCCTCTTCACCAAGCAGAGATAAACTTAGGGCCAGGGAGAGAAATACTAGTGAGAGAGAAACACTGATGGGTTGTCTCCTATGTGCTCTCTACTGGGGATCAAGCCCGAAACCCAGGCGTGTGCCCTGACTGGGAATCGAACCAGTGACTTCTCTGTGCATGGGACAACGCTCAACCACTTTAGCCACACCGGTCAGCCCCATCTCTACCTTTTGAACCCCAAAGCCAGAACTGTGCTATGATCCTCATGAGAGACAACCCCGTAGAAGCCTTAGTCTGTTCCCAGAGCATAGCCACTTCACAATCCATTCCCCCCTTTCCCCCTCCCCGCAACACATTCCCACACAATCAGAGCAGAACCATCCTCACTGCTTCGTCTCCCCAAAGCTGTCCCTCCAGAAGAGGACAGCCCTCTTTTCACGACCCTGTTTCCTCCAAGACTCAAGAAAAGGCAAGCTTAACTACTTTTGGATCAAGGGCTCTCTTAAGAAAAGCAGATTTATTAAATGAGAATCTGTTCTTATTTCTATTTTTTAAAAAGTAAGCCAAATTTGAAAACTTTATTTTTAAGTAGATAATACATGTACATAGTACAAAATTCGAAAGGTACAAAAGGTCTACAGTGAACAGTAATTCCCGCCTTCTTCCCAGAAGCAGCCCAGGCCACCAGGTTCCTGCGTGTTCCCCAGAGAGCTCCTAGGCATATGCACACAGGTGTGACTGATACACATTTGTGTGTTGTGTGTGGATACTGATGCACACACATACACCCACAGGCATACGTTTTTCTCCACCCTCTTCCTCTTTTTATAAACCAACACTAGTGAGTGTACTATGAACCTCTTCCCTCCTCTTAACCAGGCATCCTGGGGCTCATTCCATGGCAGTACTACAGAGTGGCCTGTTCTTTTAATATTCCATTGTGTGGAGTCACCATAATTTATTTAACTGTTGCCTTATGATGGTGGTAGATTCCAACTTTTTGCTATTAGAAACAATGCTGCACACAGGAAAAATTCTTGGAAGTAGCACTGCTGGCTGGAAAGGTTTGTGCACTTGCACTTCAGAGATATGGTGATTCGCCCTCCAGAGGTTGTACAACTCCTGCTCCTGCCAACACCGTTTCTGAGTGCTGCTTTCCAAGGCTTGGTTTTTGTGGCTGAGTCAGTTCAACCAGACAAGTTATCTTTAGATCCATGACACACTTTGAGCCAGAACACACTCCTGGTCTAATCTCTGACATGAGTGTACTCCCCTTCCTCCCTCTGCCCCCCTCCCCCACTTGCATGGGGAGAAAAAACATCTGTAACAGGTAAATATGAAACCTCCGACACCTTTTTCTCCTCAACCTTCAGGGTGAGAATAAAACAAATACTCTGAGATTCTCTAAAGCAGCTCAACAAGTTGTCTACCTCTTTTCAAACTAAGCATAAATTAGACGGAAGGTTAAAATCTAAACTTTGCTAATGCAGGGATGCCAAGATGTAATTTGAAGAAGCTATTTTATCCAACCAAAACTTCCCAACTCTCCAGACAAGCCAGATGCTGAAAGACTACTGCAATGAGTGACGCAGGCCAGGTCCCTGCTTGTGTGGCTCTTACCCTCCAGAGGGAGGGGAGGCAACAACTCTTACAAAAAGGACTATGATGCAAACACTGCCAGCAAGTGCCACCTAGACAGACAGCAGGGAAAGGACAGAATGTGATCGGGCCTGAAGCCTGACACTGAATGGATGTGTATGAGCATCAGGTGGCCAGGAAAAGCCGCTGCCCACAGCTTTGGAGGGAGAGCAGTCCAGGTGTGGCAAAAGCAAGGGCAATGCCATGGACAGGCATGCGCTTAGCGTGTTTGAGGCACTGATGTAGGCTGGCATGGAGAACCCACAGTAACCCCACATCCAACAGGCTGCAGACCAGCTACTAAACCTCTGCCAATGTTTTTACACATTTATTGTTATTCTAAGGACAGACCATGGTAACATACCGTATGTAGCATTTTTAGCTTATCACCATGTGCTGTATGAAGGAACGCTCTGAACGGGGGGATCAGAAGGTGCATCACACAATGCACATGCCTTGTAATTGTTAGAACTCGTTGCCAGTGCAAGGAGGCAGGCGGGGGGCACAGGCTGCTCACCAACAGACCAATGGACCAACAGATGGGACTGGCAGATGCCCAGGCTGCGAGGCCCGAATGTGGCAGAGGCTGTGGTGACTCAGGGTGAACAGACTCTTAGAGGACTTTTTAGCAACTTCCACTATGTGATACCCAAGTGGGACCAGAGGCTTCCTTTTTGTCCCTTCGTTTTAGCCTTGGAGCAACCACCACCTAATTTCTGAATATAAAGAAGAAAGGAAGCCTAAAAAGACTTCTGAAAGTAGCAATCTTGTGGACAAGAGTTCTGAAGCAGACATTTTAAGGAGGCTTCCCAGCATACACCTGGCAATGATGACTCATGGCCCACATCAGACACCAAGAATGTCGTGAAACCACGCTTAGCAAAGCTAACTGCTATTCAGCAATTCAAGAAAAACACAGAAGCCAAATAGGGCATTGTGAGACCAGAGAACAGGACCTTATATGAGGACAATAATTTTCATAATGAAAATGAAGATGTGGTTGGAAACGTTCCCAACACATTAAAAAAAGTCCAGGGCTCTTCTCATCCTCCCTTTCCATCACTTGAACCTCTTCTAAAAGCTTCTTTCACATCTTCAGCAGTTGTTGGTCTTACAAAGAAAGAAGTGACTTTTGAGGAGGAACCAAGATGGCCGCGTAGGTGAATGCCAGTACTCACTGCCTCCCACAGCCACAATAAAATTACAGCTAAAATACAGAACAACCATCATTCACAGAACCGCCTGGAAGCTGGCTGAGTGGAAGTCCTACAACTAGAGAAGAAGAAAGCACACTGAGACTGGTAGGAGGGGCGGAGGCACAGGAGGGGCTGGTCCAGCACCCATGTGTGCTGCTTTTTTAATCAGGAGGAACATGGTCTCTGAGGAGGCCGCCCGTGAGGAGCAAGGGGTTCCAACCTCACACCAGACCCCCAGTCCAGGGTTCCAAAGCTGGAAAGAGAAGTCCCCGAAACTTCGGGCTGTAAAAACCAGCAGGGATTTTGGCTGAGGGACATGAAGGCTGCTGGAGACCCAGGTGTTCCTCTTAAAGGGCTGGCGCACAAACTTTCTTAGACGCCCAGCACTGGGCAGCTTTGAGGGACCCAGACACATATGGGGAGAAGCAGGATTGTCTGGCATTGGGGCAGGCACTCGGGGGAGGCTTTCTCCCAGACTGGGGTGCTCATAAGGGGTCACTGTTCCTGTGCTGGGACTGCCCCTGTCGCAGAGCTGACTGGCAGCCATGTCTGAGTTTCCAACAGCATGGCCCACACTGTTCCCTCTGCCCTGATGATTCCCTGAGACCCCACCCAATCCAATTTACAGCCCCACCCCAGCTGTTTGCAGCAGCTTTTTCATATGAATGGCCTGTCCTGGCTCAGGCTTCAGACTTTCCTAAAATCTCTCAAACAAGTTGTAGCTAGTGTCAGTGTGCCCCAAACCCATCAATAAAAGGCCCAAGACTGGGCACTAGCACCAGCCTGCCTTGCTTCACAGCTGGGCCTTGTCTGGGTATTTCCAAACCCAATACAAATAGCAGGCGTCTGCAGATCTCTGTAGCTCCTGCCGGGTGGCCCCAGGCAGTGGCTGACTTTGCACCTCCCTGGAGGCCCCAGAGCCAGTGCACCTGGTGGACAGCTTCAGACCATACCAGATTACAACTCTACACATCCACAAGTGACACACTCAAGGGGAAGACTCAGTGAGAATCAAGGCCCCACTGAAGCAAGCCCTGCTCCACAGGGGTGTCTCCTGCACAGCAGCTCTTCTGCTGTAGTTGCAGCTGCTCCTCACAGCCAATTGGTCTGGAGGTCAATTCCTCCCAGTGACACCAACAGCAATCAAGGCTCAACTACAAAAAGACTGTGCACACAATCCACACAGAGGCGTACCTAGAGTGCCC